TGCTGAGGAGTATGTTTCACCAAGCACGCATGGTTTGCAAACGATGGGGGTGCTTGGAGATATTTCGTCTCCACAGCTCACGGAGAGCCCTTCACCGGCAGGACATTTTCGACAGTCCTGGCATTGGACTGATCCACTCACTGGATCCTTGATCGTGATGCTCTCAGGATCACACGAAGCCACAGTCTGGGCAGCAACATCTAGCAAAATGAAACGTCGAGGATTATATGTGTGATTGATAATGCACACGAAAAATGACTTATGCTTGTGAACTGCAGGTGCAATGATGAGTACTTTGATATATAGTGTGCGTAATTACGGATAAGTTCAGATTGTATGCTTTTTCGTAGTCTCAATCCAACCTACGCTTGTTTTAAATTATTTCTTTATAATGGTTTTCATTACTGAAAGGTTACATTTGTAAAACTGAGTTCTATGCCCATTTCCTGTTCGTTTTCGGTGAATTATGTGTGTTTGTCCATTAGCTATAAATAGAATTTTTAAAAAGGANACTGCACCGCTTGTTTGGGGATACACCGGGTACTTGACACTGCGGGATGACTATGTCCTTGCCGTCATTACAGCATTGGGAACACGGCTTGCACATGCTCAGCATGGGCTCAACGTAAGCTCCAACTTTACATCTTCCGCACTCGGCCTTGGACGTCAGTGTGCAGGCTTTGATGGTCTCGCGAAACGGTCCGCAGTTCTCGCAATCTTTGCAGGCCCCGGCTTCGTGTGCTGAGGAGTATGTTTCACCAAGCACACATGGTTTGCAAACGATGGGGGTGCTTGGAGATATTTCGTCTCCACAGCTCACGGAGAGCCCTTCACCGGCAGGACATTTTCGACAGTCCTGGCATTGGACTGATCCACTCACTGGATCCTTGATCGTGATGCTCTCAGCATCACACGAAGCCACAGTCTGGGCAGCAACATCTAGCAAAATGAAACGTCCAGGATTATATTTGTGATCGATAATGCGCACGAAAAATGACTTATGCATGTGAACTGCAGGTGAAATGATGAGTACTTTGATATATAGTGTGCATAATTACGGATAAGTTCTGATTGTATGCTTTTTCGCCGTCTCAATCCAACTTACGTTTGTTTTAAATTATCTCGTTATAATGGTTTTCATTACTGAAAGGTTACATTTGTAAAACTGAGTTCTATGCGCATTTCCTGTTCGTTTTCGGTAAATTATGTGTGTTTGTCTATAAATAGAATTTTTAAAAAGGAGAAGGCCAATTATGATAATAAAAATCCTTCTTTATAAAGGGTGACCACGAGGTCAAGCCAGTCCAATCGTTTGTCGGATTTCCCTCCAGATATTTGCTGCTTAGTTAGTTTTCCGGTTCTTTTTCACTGTCACAAAATTTTGTGGTTGGTATTAATAAAGTATAGAGGACGTCCGTCAAACTCACGGATATTGAACTTATTTTAAGAGCCGACAAACAATCCTTACTTGTAAATGTCGTTGATAAACAGATCAATACCACCAGAAGTCCTGTGTTCAGCATGATCACGTGTTTGTTCATGTCAGCGATATGGTAACGTAACAGAACTAAAATTAAAAAATATATATATATCAATTAGTGTACACAAGTGCTACGGTTCATTTTAGTTAAACATAAAATTCCTTGGTACATGCCTTAGTTCTTGTAACTTAATTTGTGATTTGTGGAAGTGCTTTGTCGTTATGAATTCGAACTAATGTGGTAAATCAACTTGATAAGTATATTCAAGATGTACAAAATCCAAAAGAAATGTTTGTTTTAATGACAGACGTTGTACGCCTCAACGTTTCTTCAGGACTGAACACTTTTGAAGCTTTCGAAATAATGTAAAGTTAACGAACGCAACAAACCAATTTCTTCTACAGCAAATGAGCCTACATTTATCTGTTTTGAGTGACTGTAGCGTGAGTAGTGTGGGGACTTTTATTCCTTGATTTTGAATTCTTCAGTATGACCTCTGCTGCTATAAATACACTCTTTTGTTTAACTTGGACCCACGAATATAACGCCAGTTCAAAAAACATAACTTTTGTCAAGGTAACAATGATTCCGCCGTTCCACTACCAATCTAAATAGTTACTAAATAGTCAAGATATTTCTACATTTTCCAGCCAGGTAAAACGCAACGTGACTGAAAATTTGCCGAGTGAAGTTTGTCGTGGTGTGATGTATTGAAGGTCACCTCGACTGTGTANAGTGATGTTCTTAATCTTCTGTTCTATATACGTGAAGGTGATTATCCACCATTGGGCAGCGAACAATTCAAACTCGTGTTGACTTGAGATCTATAAACGGAAACAGTGGTTGAGTGAAATTCTCAGTGAGAGCTTGGAAAGATAGATTACAGTCGGAGTTTGCCAACTAAATGGTTAAGATGTGACAAAATGGAAAAATGGAGAAAGTGGATTGTGCAATTCAGGAGTGCGTCACAATCAAAGACAATGCTGACAGGTGAAAATTTGGTATGAACTTGACTGGCCTCCAATAATATCTATGATATTAATTAAACTTGCAAAATACTTTCAAACAAAAGTCCTTGCGGAAACAGAAATGCTATGACGTCAGCAGAATGTCAAGAAGGGATGCTGCAAGCAGTTTAAAAAATCAACAGAGTGTAAATCCCGGCCTAAACAGCTGACTTCTTGGTTTCTGCGATCAAACTGAACTCGTGGTAATCTGAATAATTATTGAATTCTCCACGTTTCTGGCAAACCAACAGTCGAAAAACAGTAATATCCGTTTTGCAGCCAGCTACAACTAAGTAATTTTTTTTTTTGGTCACCGGAAGCTGGCTCCTCACAACTCGGCATTCTGTAGCAATCACTTCCGACAATTACCAACTTTGTTATATTTTGAATTCCTTTGAGTCACGCGTGGGAGCGAAAAGGTTAATTCTGTTTCAGCCCAATTGCGTGAGACTATATTAAATGTTCCGTGTTCTTTGATATATTTGTATATATAATTTGTTGTCGGATTCTGAAAAGAAGTGATAACTGTGACAAAGTCTGCAAAATTTTGGTCAGACAAGTGTTGTCTCCACCACGTGATTGGGACCGATCGACAGGGGGAGCTGTTACGTCATGTGACGCCGGATACGAATTTTTTTGCGTGGGCGATTGCGCTTTTTCAAAACACCAACGCAAAAACAACATATTTTTACCAAAGCGAGGAAAATGGAATCAATTACGCGAAGAAAATAACAAACAGTTTTCTTAAAACGACTCACAGCTCAGCTCAGCTCAGCTTAGTATTACAAACAGATGAAATAAAACTATCTTCTTATCTTCTTGAAAATTTGACCTTAACTTCAAGGGGTGGCGAATGGTCCTTCAAAAACCATGAGTCTGGCAAAATCTTCGTCGAATTTCAGAATTTCACGGGTCTCACAGTTTTGTTTTTCTTTTGGCATTTACGTGCGTCAGTCTTAAAGCCTTGATTTTTTCATAGCACTCAGTCTAAAAGTCTCGATTTTTTGCCAGGCTAAGAAAATCTCGATTGAAGTCCGGATTTCTTTGTTTGCTTTTATAAATTACCTCTGAACGAGTTTAAGTCCGAACGTCTCGCTCCCGCATTTGAAAGACACTTTGAAGACTCGGTCGCTAGTCTCGCCTCCTCGCAAAGTCTCGCATTTACCATCTGTTACCATTCACCACCCCTACTTCTTTGGCCGGATTCTAAGTTAAGAACTATAGAATGATGAACACATATTAGGAGCATTTTAAGTAGCCTACACCGGCACGAAAACAATCGAATAATAAGACAGAAAAAAAACTTGAGTCAGGGGAGAGCAAACCAACCTTGAAATTCAGCGGGGAGTAATCGGCGTGGCGAACACTGATTCACACTCGTGTTGACTGCCACGCGTAAACGGGAACAGCGAACCTCTTGAGGGAGCGCTCAAAAATAATCTTTCTGGTTTCCTGATCATGCCACTGAAAATTGCATTTTTAACAGGCTGTATATTGTTTGTTATACGTTAAAAGCGGGCAACGGTTACTGTAGGAACATTAGTTAAACTAAAAGCGTCATTTCTTTCCCAGTTCATTACGTTTCTTAAACTTGTAATTGCGGCATTAAGGTTCCCTGAGGTTTCTAACAAAAATCTCTCAGACAAAAGCCACCAGTCTTTGTAGTATGAGTAACGATGCGGAAGTGCCATGACGTAAGCATAATTCAGATCAACAGACAGTAAATCCTGACCTTACTTGACAGTTGCCTTCATGGTTTCTACGATCGACACGAACTCGTAGTAATCTGCACAATAATAAGTAACAATTACACTGTATGTCCACGTTTAAACGAATATTATCGATTGGAAATGTAAACAGCAATATCCGTTTGGACCGTTTGCACCTGCTAAGTTTGTTTGGTGACCGGAAATCGTCTTGGTATGTAGTTCAGTGACCGTCTAAACGGAAATTATCCCTGAATGTTGTTTTTGTTTAACTGATGATTCTTGCCCGCTGCGTTTGGTTCATCATTAAGTTACGGGTACGATTAGGATTAAATATATATTTTTTTCTCGGATTCTGAACAGTAATAAGATTAAACAACGTGCGTAAATTTCTTGTCAAATGCGTGCTGTTTCAACCACGTGATTGGGAGTGATGGACTTTTTAAAATGATATAGGCGTTTGTGTTTAGACAAAATATTTTAACCAAAGCAAGTAAAACAGAATAAATTACACTAGGAAGACGGCAAACAATTTTCTGAAAACGACTCACTCAGATGTAGCACGATCAGCTCAGTTTTGCAAACAGCATGAAATAATATCTTCTTATCGACTTGAAACTGTGATCTGAACTTCTTTGGCCGGCCGGATTTCAAATTAATTAAGAACTGCAAAATGGGTGAAATGTAAACAGGAAAAACCGCACACGTAAATTATATTATTGGGAGAATTTTACTCAGGAACAATCAGCAGCTATTTCGCTGGTTGTCTCGACATTCACAACTATTACTGGACCTCAGCAATTCACAAAACTTAGTATAATTGGCAGTGAAGCAAATGCTATTTCAAATCAAGAGACTATGTTCTTGTTCATTTAAACAGGCAAATACGGTCGATGCTTACGTAAACACTTTTTTAACGACAAGTGATCTGCTTCGCGTCACAGTTGGGTTTCAAGGTCTTTCAGCGCTGAGCAATGCGGGCAGTTTAATTGTTGCCGGCGTACCGTAGTAATCCGTAAGAGTAATATTCATAACTCCCGCAGACGTTTACTTGAAAGTATGTCGCCTATCGAGACTTGGGATTCAAGATTGGCAGCCTGTTAAAAATTTGAATAATTTTAAATCTAAATAAACGAATTGATAAGCTATGATGGCTGATGTATGCATTTTTTTTGACCACAGCGCACTGATCCGTTTTACGTTTCAGCACTGAGCAGCTGACTATAGCGCCCCTCTCCCCCCCTCCCCCCTCCCCGGGGATACTCCATGGATTTTTTTTGAAGGGGATAAGCCAGCAAACTCTCCAGCCAAATGCTGACTCTAGAATCAGTTTTTTCAGACCAAAATAAGTAATTTTCCGTAATTGTTTGCAGATATTAAAATTGAATTGTTTAATGTGCTGGTAACTGCCCTTCATCGTGTCAATTTCATTTTTAGTTACTTCAATTTTCTCGCCTAAAAGCTGATGAAACAGGTAAATACAGTGTACTTGTATGGGGTAGTCTACAATAGCATTACGTATGCATCAACTTCTGGTTTGTGTAAATAAATTCGTATCAGCTCCCGTAAACAATTTTAGACCAGACTGACAAAATCTTTTTTCCAAAACGGTCCAAAACAGCTAAAATGGCGATACCGTAGCACACTTTGAGGCGACTATGAAATAGCTTATGTACGGAGTGTTATACCCTCTGGGGGTGGGTTCACCGTCAAATTAAAGCTATATAAGTCAAAACAGAAATAAAGAATTTCGTATCAAGACAGTTCCCCGAAAACAGGCAAACTTAACTGACCCCTGAAAATCACGAGAAAAAATCTCATGAACTGGAATCGAAATGCATTTCCGTTATATATAAACCAAGGAGCATATCTGAACGGTTACGTACACGACAGACCCCATGATTAGTCACAAAGTCGTATGTATTCTTTTTTGAACTTGAAACTAACGTTTACATTAAATTTACAGAATTAGGTGCCTACCTTGTTGAGCTTCAAAACACGACAGGAAATCTTTCCTATGACTCGGTAACTGAACGGGTACCTATGTGAAATAGAACAGAATTCTGCGTCAGCATCATTTACCTACGCTTTGCAGTCAGCAGTAGGAATGATAATAATAGATATCGAAGGCACGTTACACACTTATATGTTTACTTTATAATCCATCAAACATTCTCGCTTCCACGCGATTGGTTAGCCTGAAATGTCCGTCATCCCCCGCCCTCAGCCTAATGTCCCTAATGGCGAGAGATAAGCTGAGGGCGGGAGATGACGGACAGTTCAAGCTAGTGATTGGTCTAAACGCGTCACGTAAATGAATATCCGAGTGATGTTCCCCAGTATTCAAATCTCGCGTGTTGCGAAAAACATTTGAAGGATAATAAACACAATAGCCCCCCGTTTGCCTTAAAGAATAATATGCTTGGAAATTTGTCCTTGGGAGGAGCCCATGACCAAGAATTAAAACTGTTCGCTTCTCGGAACCGATGAATTTGCGAATAAATATTCAAGCATATTTTCGCGCTAAGCCGTTGTCCTACGCGGACGCCCTTTGGGTTCGTCATGCAACCTTCCTCCTTCGTTCGTGGGGGAGGAAGATTGCTTGACGAGCCTGTCCTTCACTCGTAAATGTCATAAACGAATGTGCGAATGGCTATTGAAGTAACGCTCTCCAGAGTTTACGTCTGATTTCGTGACGCTGACGTCACTTGAAAAAAATACACGGAGGATATTACACGGTAGCGAGATATGAATTTTATGTTCGAGTGGCAAGAACAATATCTCACGAGTGACCAAAGCGAACGAGTAAGATATTGTTCTTGCCACGAGAACATAAAATTCATATCTTCAAGCTAACGTGTAATCTTCTTTTTATTATATTATGTAGACATACTGATGACGGCGCTTTTGACGATTTTCCGAAGATTTCCGACCACTTTCCGAAGATTTCCGAAAATTCTCTAAAATTTGCCCGAAGGTCACACGAACGTTGTCGAACATTTTTCGAAATTTTCCGAAGATTAACGAAGATTTCAGAAGATTGCCGAAGACTTTCGAGGAACACCCGAAGATGTTTCGATCACACACCAACAAATTTAAGTACAACTTAAAGAGACAAACTTGATATCAGTGAAATCATCGATATGCTATCTTCACTAGTGAGGATATGGAAAATACGCCACACGAGTCCCGTATTTTGTTTCGTATGAATTTTACGAGTGGTGTATTTTCCAGTAAAACACTCGTGCCTGTATAATGAAAACGCCTTTGGAGGAAAGAAACCTGACTGCTTTGTTTTGTCTTCGTCGGAAAGAATACGAAAGTTGGGTTCATAATACATTTTTCAGGCTACTCGCTACAGGAAAAAGACAAGACACGAAGCTAGTGGTTTAGATTGATTATGGCCACCGAGAACGGAAAAACCCAGTGTTTGATTGCGGACGGCCTTTTCTCTGTGTATTTTGTGAGACAACCGCGATCACGAGATATGGGAAGTTCACTATTTTAACCAAACAATATGTAAGTTTTGGTTGATCTTCAAATGGAACAGTACTTTTCCGGAAGATTCGTTTGGAAACTGTCAACCATGACAACTATTTTCAGAGGTGTTGCTCTTTTTCACTTGTTTTTCGTTCGAATCTGAACGTTGGATTGGTTGGAAATCTCCTTACCATTTGGACAGTTCAGTTGCAGTCTTCCATCACCGAAAACCATACGGTACGGCATACTCTGGACAAGAACAAGAGAGAGCGCGACCGATAAAAATAGAGTACGGACAATTTTAAACGCATCACGCTACACGGCCTGCGTATTTCACGCGGAAAATTCCGCGTGATACAAAGGACTGAATGGTTTCTCTAACCAGGTTAACTGAATCAGTTAGAGGGATGCTGTCACCTTACTGAGTTGATGGGTTAAACAG